CAAGTTCCAACGACATTCTTTTGTACTTCTGAGCTTTATGAGTTTTTCACTTATCATCATTAGTGATCATTTAGAAAAAATTGTTAATAAACTTCTCAAAATAAACGCATATGTATTAATGCGGATTACGTTGGTGCGATTCAAGGGCATATGCCCATGTAGCAAGACTTGCATATACCCATGTAGCAAGACTTCAAAAAGAATAAAGCATACCTCAAAAAAATAAAAATAAAAACCAAAATACAAAGAATAACACAAAAACGGCTGAAATATATAGGAAAAGAAAATCAAGGAAAAAACACTGATAAATAAGAAACGACAACCCCTTCTCTTATTTGTCTTTTTCCTCTCTTTCATCTTTTTGCACTCAAATTGCCACCAATGCGATGTCTAGGTAAAGAGAAGCAATGTTTTGAGTGGGGCATGGGCAAAATGAAGAAAACTCAAAAATTTTAAAGCCAATAATTTAATTTGGCAAAAACTCAGTGGGGTAGCAGCCCGCCCTCACTAGGCCCTTAGTACCTCCGCCACACTCACCACCATCACTCACTGAGCTCCCCATGACTTCCAGCTCGGATCTTTGTTACTCGCCACCCCAAGTAGCAAATCTATGAAGCTTGTTATCCCCCAACCTGGAATCTCATGCCCCGTTCATTTCGCTGATTCGAGTTTAGAATTCGAGTTTTGCTACAGTAAAAAGCTCTCACAAACAATCACATCTAACTTTTTTGCTACAGTAAAAAACTCTCACATAAAATCACATCTCAACTCGAATTAAAAACTCGAATCAGCGAACTAAACGGGCCCTCAATTATTGTTCCAACCGGTGAACCATCCAATTGCTCAATTATTGCTCGTTGTTCCAACCGGTGAACCATCCAATTGCGTGTTGCGTTGCGCCCACCACGTGTTGCGTTGCGCCCACCCCAGAGAACCCATCCCCACACTGACCCGACCCACATCTCCCAGAATCTCTACCATCGCAAGGCCCCTCCATTCATGCTTCAGGCTTGGAGCCGCAACCAACGAACTACTCTCCCATGCCAAGAAGGAGAGAGAGAGAGAGAGAGAGAGAGAGATTTGAAAAAAAAAAATCAAAAGAAAAATTAACGTGGTTAATTTTAGTTGTTATATATTTCGCTGCAATGTTTTTAAATTAAATTAAATTTTTAGATTTTTAGAACAATTACTTCCAAATTTGTTGTGGTTTAACAAATGGTTTCTTAAATTTTTAATTTTGATAATTAACTTCGTGAACTTGTAAACTTATTGTAATATGAGGTAAATTTACTCAAATTTTTTTATTAAATTTAGGAGATAAAAGGTTGATCAATTTAATTGTACGTAGAATACACCAAATAGGACCTAAAGGGTTTGAGGGGACCAACGTCGGATACGCTATAAATTTTAATAAAAAAAAAATGGCATTTTTTTTAACGGAAAAAATGGCATTTATTCCGAAGAGAGAAATCCCAACATTCAAATTAACCGCATGACAAATTTCAGCCATGGGTCCAACCTTTGTCTAAGTAGAATAAGTTGAAGAAAAACCAAAAAGCCCCGAATATGCATCACACGCAGCAGGCTAGCTGCTCACTTGCAGAGAAGCAAACTGATTAATTGTTAAGAAAACAACATACAAATAAAAGTTGAAAAAAAATTAGGGAAAACTACATATTGGTATCTTGTATTTTAGCCTAATTATTTTTAGTATTATGTGTTTTTAATAATTTTAAATTGATATCCTTATGTTTTTAATTTTATTATAAGTGGTGCTCACTTACGAGTTGTGACTGGTTTTAGTATTTAACTTTATCTTAATGAAATGAAATTCTTCCCTTAAAAAACAGATTATTTTAAAACACATGATACTAACATGAAATTTTCTCAATAATTTATAGGGATTTTTTTCAATGCGTTAATATATTAATAAGTCATGTCTTTTGTCCGTCAAATTTATATAAAATCACATAAACATTAAAAAATATATAAATTTAATAATTAAAAAACTTGATTTATCAGTACGTTCATGCGTATTAAATAATTTTCTTAATTTATATTGAAAAATAAAAGTTTGAAAAGGCTTATAAACAGAAAACTACAAGATTACACGCACTAAAAAAGGGTCTACAAATGAAATGATGGTGGGGAGAGAAGAACCAAAGGGGATTTATTGTTGTCTCTGTGGCTGTAGGAAGATGCCAAAAGGGTGATGATAGTAAGGCGAAGCAACAAATATTTTTCTCGTTTCCTGGTGGGGCCCACTGGCCCCAGTTGTCAAACACGTCGTCACATGACACGACAAAAACAAAAAATCTTATCGACAGGGAAACGTTATTATGCCATGATGACACGTTTGATTAGTTAATTTGCAGCGTATTTAGATAATGCTTTCCTTCTTCAGTTCTCCTCCTTTCTCTATCTATGCTGTCACAATCTCTACCCTCTAATAATTTTGTCCACACGCTAAATACGTAGTACTCAGCTCTTTATTTAGTTTAATTGGAGATTTCAGTATGGTATCGATCGCACTCATTTTTGTACGGTTATGATGAACGATGGGGAGATGTAGGTGGGGCCTAATTTGGGTTCTAGTGTAAGGCAGGTGAAGAAGAGTTGCACCACAAAGTTTCTCTGTTAAGTTCATGAGCTTCTTGCAGGATTTTTGTGAGTTTGCAAAATGACAGTTGACACTATAACACAACCAACCAAGCAGAGCTAAACAAGGAAAAAGTATTTCTTCCGCTGAGAGAGTGCCCATCACGTTAATCACGCGGCTTCATGTTCTTGAGGTCTTCAGCCACCCATTTCTCTCTCCCTCTCTCTCTCATGTTATTTTAATTAACTTATTTTATTTTGTAAGGAAAAAGAAAAAAGAAATCATCTTGGTCCCGGGAAACGAAAAGTGAAAAAGCAGTATTAGAAACGTATGCATATAAATTTTATGAGAATAAAACAAGTGCGTAAATGATTGTTGGCAAACTTTTGAGGAGGTTTCATATGTGATCACTTTATTGAATATTGTGTGTGTGTGTGTGTGTCTGAGGGAGAGGAAGAGAGAGAGAAGTGAGAGAAATGGTACGAAAAGCACCAACAAGATGTGTAAAAGAGAAAGCTGGGGGCCTAGCATGTGTGAGATGCAGGGACTAGTTGGCATTAATTTTACTAATTGATCTCTTAAACGTCATGAATATACATATATATGATCCTAAGGAATGTTGCACTTCTTACTTTTGGGAGCAAACAATATATATATATATATATATATATACATATATATTTATGGTGGTAGGGAACAAAAAATGGTTTTGGAAAAAAGCCTGCAGAAAAGGAAAAGACACAATGAGGGATTTGCCTTATTGCATGCAGTGATAACTTAGATATATCATATAATATCGCAATGGAAACTGCTGTAGCAACTCTTACACCTATGGATGCAACATTTTATTGTTACACATTAATATGTTGATAAATACATTAACTATTTAGAGTACCACAATTCATGTCAACTGCCTCCAAAGAAATGTCAACTACTTGCTTTATATATATATGTCTATATTGAAGTGCATGCATTATACAGATTGTTTCCAATTTATACTATGTAATGCAGGTATGGTAAATGGTATTAAAATTGGGGCCTTACAGGTTTGTTTGCACCAGATTAGAGAAGAGCTTTATATATATCAATCTTTCCCATGGCTGCTGGGACAATTTGTTTCATTTTTTTAAAAATATTTTCTTATGCTAATTATTGAGAAGATAACCAACTTTTTTGTTAATTTATTTTTTCAGCTTATATAGCCACTAAAAGTTATTTAGAACGCACTTGATAGTATATAGGTGGTAGAATTACATCTCAACGTGTATAATTTTTCATAAGAAATCATTTGAGGTGTTAAAAAGAAAAAAAAAAAAAAAAAGAAAGAACTTTTAACTGGCACTTGATCATAAACCTTTTAAAAAAATTAATGTATAAAATGATTTTTAACCCTCATCTAATAACTTAAATTAATAATAAAAAAGAATGTATTGGACCCTTACTCTTGATGAGATAGGGCAAAGGCGCATTACAGAAAGAAAGCAACCTTTTCTCTCTCTCAATATGTGTAACTTGTAAGAAGAGATTCTCAGCAGTCCTCACTCCTCACTCCCCAGTAACCTGGCTCGCTCTCCAAGGACACTTAAAAGCTAATAAACACATTATAATAACAATTTTTTTGTTTTGGGCTATACAAGTCACCGAACCCTAAGCTTAGATCCCACATTTCCATCTCTCTCTCTCTTTCCCATTCATTCAAATGTTGACAGTCTTTCATTCAATACACTTTCAAACCACCACTTTTTCAGACACCACCAAATCACACCACACTGCGACTAATTATTACCAAGAGCCCACGTCAGAGAGAGAGAGAGAGAGAGAGAGAGAGAGAGGGTAATAGGCTTAACATTGCAGGCCTAGGTAAGAGGCTGATAAACAGCGGAGGTTTTAACCCAGGCAATATTGCAAGTACTACTGTAGTAGCGTTTCTGTTTCATATGTATATTCATGACTTCGTTTATTGTTGTTCATAGCAGGCTGAGCAGCCTGAGACTCAGTATTCCTTGATGGAGATAGAGACACTGAGACAGTAAGAGTTCTCAGTTCTGGAACACTGACTGAACATAAAACAAAATCAAAGATATGCTATTAAGTTTTACCCTTTAATATCAGTCCAAATCTATTCCGGATCCCAAAGTGAGCAAAAGGTATATCGGTTAGAAAGCAAACCACGACTCTCTCAACTGAAGCCTAGATGAAACATTAGTCATGAAAAGTATCACCATATGTGCGTTATTGGTTGAAGCACAAAGTAACATAGCTCAAGACCACCTCATGATTTCTTTAGCTTAGTGATAGTTAAGCATATTGTAATAATATACATATATGAAGTATAAACAACAACAATATATTCAATTAAAGAAATGGTGAGTACTACTAGCAAGTATCAGCATCAATACACAACCACAAATTATAAAATATTAGAGCTGATCATCCGACAGTTGATCAACATCGGTCTTGCTGAATAATAACAATGATAATTTATAAACATGATCAGTTTTTTTTTTTTTCCTAGGGTAAAACGCTGTTTGTCCTCCTTTCTGTTACCAACTTTTACACATTTGGATACACACCCAACAAAAAACAAACCAACAACATATGCGTAAAATGGGAGGTGTACGTGACTTGATTATAACATGATTAATTCAATATATGATCTTTTTCCCTATTTAAGGTTTCTACCTCTTGAATAATACTTCGTGATCATTCATCTCCATCATCATCATCATCTAAGGTAAAGCACTAAATTGCTGCAAGTCAGTAGTACTCCAAGGCGCTTGAACTCCACTACTGTTCCAAGCAGTCGCGTTCTCGTTGCCGTTAGTACAGCCACTATTGTTCGGAGTCTGAGCAGTCACATGGTGAGCTTGTTGCGCAAAAGAATTCCCAAAGAACCACTCCATATTATTCGCCGCGTGATCTCCACTCGCAACCTCTTTCCTCGCTTGAACCTGCAGGCTGTGATCAGGCTTCGAAATCTCCAGATTCTGAAACAAAATGGGCACCGTTTGATGAGACAATTTCTGGGTCGTCGTTGTCGTCGTCGGGTTTCCGAGGGGATTAAGAACCAAAGAATTATTAACACCACATCCAGTACTACTGATCTGATCTTTCTGAGAATCTCCCGTAGTACCTAACAGCATGGCCAATCTCTGCTGCTGTAGCTTCCAGTGAAGGTCTTGGTTTATCGAACTCAAGGATTCTATGGAAGAAGCGAGACTCGTACGGACATTGGTATTACTTGAGCTCATGAGATTAGCAAGATTATTGCCTTGTATCGCACCACCAAACCCACCAATACTACTTCCACTACCCAACGACAGTGGATAATCAAAGGAACCCATCAAAGCAGAAGAGTTGTTAGAGGCTAAAGAATCTCCAAAAGAAGAAGAAGAAGAAGAAGAAGAAGAAGAAAGTGGGTTGTAGATTATTCCAGTCGACGTTGAAAGCCTGCCTGTAGTAGGGAAGGAACTTAGCCCACCAAGCTGAAAATCCATCGCTGGTGAAATACCGTTTAAGAACTTCAAGTTCAAGCCTGCGCCGAAGTGATGGTGATGATCCGAAGAGGGAGAGCTCGAGTCTTTGGAGTCTGTGCCCCCGGAGAGGCGAGAGGAGGACTTGATCTTCTTGTTTTTCCGGCAGCCGCCGCCGACGGGGACGTTGCGGAGGGCGCCGCCTTTGGTCCAGTACCTCCGGCAGGTCTTACAGAAGTGCCTCGGCTGCGTGAGGCTGTAGTTGTTGTAGTAACAGAACTTGGTGTTGGGAGAGTCGCATCTAGGGCACTTCAGGGCCTGCTCCGATGGCCGAGACGACGCCGTTTTGCGGTTGCCGGAAGTGGGTTGGCTCTCTTCTTTTGCCGTGGCGGCGGCGGCGGTGTTATCGGCGGAGGACATCTTTTCAGGGAAAGAGGAAAGGGAAAGTGCGTGTGTGTGTGTGTATAGAGAGAGAGAGAGAGAGTTTTATGTTTGTATTTTAACTTTGTTTAATTATCAGTTTCGTTTAGGAGAGGCAAAGATGGTAATGAATTCAATGGTTTCATGCATGGTGATGTTGGTGGTGAAGAAGGGATAGAAGAGTTGAGAGGGCTTTTAACTTAAGGATATGGTTAGTGCTTGTGAAATTCATCAAAGAGGGGATGAGGGTTTAGAGAGATGGTGTATATATATATATATATATATGGTCGATTTAGTAATTAGATCTGATTTTGGAATGAATAAAGCTATTAGAAGAGAGAGAGAGAGAGAGGTCGGTTTATATATACATTTGTAGATAAAGGGGAGAGGGAGAGAGCATTGAGTGCTAGAGATAAGGAAGCTAGACATGTATGTATGTAATCTGAAACCGATCGGAAAAGGAGATATAATATCCACAACTTCCACTACTAGAATAAAACAACTGAACAGAATTGCGTTGATGATTGATGACGGTTGATTGAAAATAGGAATAGTATATGGATGAGAATATACTTTGAATATAAACAAAAATTTAATTCTCATTGCATGTCCGGAACTTTATAAAATCTTTTTAAATATTTCGTTTGCTTTTTCTTTTTCTTTTTCTTTTTTTTAGGCGATGAAAGAGTAACATATAGGTAATATATTTCTAATCAACATTAATAATTTACTAATTTTGTAAATATTATCGCCTATGCTGATATGTATTTAATTATCATGGTTAATTAGATTTTTCAAGCAAACAGAAATTATCATTTGAAATTATTTAGAATAATTCTATGCAGTAATCTGAATAATAAATGTATAAAAAATATTTTTCTGCACAATAATAAAAAGAACGTATAAAATATTCACCACAGTGAATAAGGAGAACATGCATGAAAATCGGGGAGGTTTTTGCACTATTAATTCACAAAAGGCTTGATTTTTTTTTAGTTTTTGCTTATATTTTGTGTTTGTGGGAAAGCGATAGACTTGGTTGGATATATCACATACACATGATGTGGCGGAATATATTTAGGTAATATAAACTGAAGCTGAGCAGATCGCAGCAATTGCAGCAGGAGCAGTAGTACAGTGGGAGTAGGCACATAGTAGTATTAGTAGGCTGATCAAGAGGGGGCTGAGATAGGAAACAGTAGCAGTGGGGCTCTGTCACTCGCTGCAGATGTTGTCTATTCCTTCCCATGTAACGTCCCTTTTGAACCCACAAACTAACCCCACCTATTTCACTTTACCCCCTTTTACACTGATCTCCGTGTACAAAATTCACCCGTGTTTTGTTACACTTGTCTCTCTCTCTATAGATGTCTCTAGTTACTTATAATATGTGCCACCTATTAGCTTTTACGGCATTAACTGTCATTATTAACCATCATTTAGGATTGTGATTAGCAAAAAAAAAAAAAAAAAAACCCATTATCAAATGTATATAAACAAATTTAGCATTAATTTCTTTTAAGAGATGTACAAACATTCACACTCTCTTAATTTCCTATATTTTTATATTTTGTAGGGCTTATTAAATTTCTTTTTTATCAATTACAGATAAAGAGATAATTAAATGAGAAAAGAAAATACTTCTTTTTTCGTGAAGTAAACACGCCCTTAAAATTATAGAATATTATTAACATATACCATTTTACATCTACTTTTTAACACATTCGTAGTAGAACGACTTCAATGAGATAATTTTATAAATCAGAAACTATTTATATGACATCTTAAAATATTAGAGACCAAAAGGCCATCACCCTTAGTTCGAGGCTAGAAATGATATAAACCTTTTTTTTTTTTTCCCCCCTCAATTCCACCGGCGTTTAACGGCTGCGATCACATCTCATTTATTTGTCTTGCAGCAGTCAGTTTTGGGAGATGAAAACGCTCTCTGGAAAACTAGGAGATCTTGTCTACTGTTTAAGGGAAGATCAGAGAAAGGGAAAGATTTTTCTTTTCTTGTTCTCTTATAACATCCAGGCTACTGAATGACTGCGCTAAGTAAAGAAAATTTTCGCTTTTTGGCTGTACCTAGTCTACGAAGAAAAGAAGTATTTTTAAGATGAATCCCAGAGTACGTATTGTCGTTTGGCTTCGTCGAGTAATATGGTTTGCTGTACTAATCGTGATAATCATGTTTTCCATATGCTTCATATCCCAAAGCGGCTATTATCTTCAGAAAATTGCATATCTAAATCCTTTTAACTATGGCGATTATTAATTAGTTTGTTTTTTTTTTTTTTTCATTTTTATTCCCTACATTTTCAGATTATAATTTTTTTTTGAATTGTATTATATTGACACGTTCAAATTTTTTAAGTTTACACTCAATTCTAACTACTTTTTGGGTAAATGGTGAATTTTGACCACAAAAAGACCTAATTACCCTCAAAGAATAATAATAATAAACAAAAAAGAAAAATAAATATTAAAAAATCTTAAGGACATTTAGGTCTTTAAGATATCAAAATCAATATTTGATAAAAAACATATCAGGATTTAACATGATTTTAAAATATATAAATTTGAGAAAGTTCAAAACACAAATGATTTTCTAATAATTAACCTAAAAAACATACATGAAGAAAAACCTGTTAATTATAAATAATAATAGGAATACCAACTTAAATTCTAATTTTGTGTACCAAATGATATAATTTGTATTGTCATTTTTATTTAAGTAGGTATTTAAACATTATCACACTAATTAATAATAAGATATTACGTTTATCAATAAAAAAATAATAATTCAGTATCACATTAATTAATATATAAAATTTAAAATTTAAGTTCATTTCCCTAACATTACTAAATAATTATTACGTCTACATAAATAACTTTTACCAGTCCTCCGTAATCATGATATATATTGACTATTTGAATTAACTAATAGGGAAAGGTACGTATTCAATATTATAGGTATGGATAAAGAAGTTGATCAAAGGCAAAGATCATCTGCACGCACAACCGACCAAAGACGTTAAGGGAAGCAAATGAATGGTGGTGGAGAAACGTGTTTCCGCCGTAAAATGAACAGCTAAGATCCATGTATATATATATATATATATATATATATGACAGCCAGATAAGTCAGTCTTCACATACTAATCGAGAGACTACAGAGATGGAGAGAGAGAGAGGAACACGTGAGAGGGTTGGCTAGATTCCCGTGAAGAGAAAACTCCCACAAACGAATAAATAATATATAAACCAAAAGCCATATTTACAAAGACACGAATGCACACGCAAAAATAAAAGTCCCGTTCACTTCGCCGATTTAAGTTTAGAATTCGAGTTTTGCTACAGTAAAAAACTCTCAGAAACAGTTACATCTAACTTTTTTGCTACAGTAAAAAGCTCTCACATAACATCACATCTTAACTCGAATTAAAAACTCAAATCAGCGAACTAAACAGAAAAAAGTGCGTCTTCTCCCACTTAATTAACCTTCGTTACATTTACAAGAAGAGAAAAAAAAAAAAAATCCTTCGTTACATATATACATAGAGGGGCCTCTCTACATCTCATCGAAGTATCTAAACCACTTGGTTATATTGATGTAGGTTCAGATGTGGTTCCAGGCTTATTCATAAATTTATATTTTTCCTCTAATATCAAGGTCTAACCTCTACTATTTAGGTTCAGGCGTCCAAATCCTCCACTTCAGCTAAAAAATAATAGAAATAAAAAAGTAATTTTCAGAAATTATGTGGAAGACTTTACAAATTTCGTAACTCAAGAAGTTCGAAAATTAAACAGTATTAGCTAGCTTTAGTGATTGTAGGCATAACCTAATTTTAATTTAAATTCTCCCACCCCACGTTAAAAAATATACACATGTTTAGGACTAGTGCTAGAATGGAATTTATTACTTTCTTCTTACAGTGACCAATATGGTTTAATCATTAACAAGATAAGAGATTCTGAATGAGAAATAGATAAGAATGTCTGGACTTTTTGCAAAGAGATTTAGCTATATCTCAAAGGTTTCGAAATACATCATAGTAAGATTTACATATATAACTTTATATCATTAGGAAGAACCCTTTAATTTGAAAAAAAAAAAAAAAAAAAGCAAAGAAATGAGATAGAAATTATGAGTTTCTTTTCTAAATGGAGCAAGTATGTCTTACCTTGTACAATGTTAATGCTTGATAGTTCTTCTATTAATGAGAAGTCAAATTACATTGAAGGGCGTTACATTTAGTAACCTTTTGTTTAATTAGGTGTTCTTTTGGTAATAGACTAGACGAATATAATTCACACACACACACACACCAAAAAAGGACTGAAATATAATCACGATTAACCGCAAGATAATTTCTCTAGTCATGGTATCGGTCGGTGCATTAAGACTCTCACCTTAAATTATAAAACTCATCTAGCGCTCATTAAACACTTTTACTTTTTTTTTGTCCCAAAACAAAACAACCAAGGACAAGTAATCATCGTGTTCTCCAGCTAAATAGGTGATCATCTCATATTGTTCAATATCAACTTCAAATTTGTAATGATAACAACTCCAAAAAACCAAAAAAAAATAAAAATGAATAGATAGGGGTGCCATAAAAACTTAGGTCAGTTCCCTCTAAACTACACTCGACATGGGAATAATGAGAATGCCCTTCTCTACGGACAATAACGAGAATTCCTCTCACGAACTATAAAGGTAGGTCAAAATCAATCACCATCACGCCTGATCCGAAAGACAGAAACTCGTTTGATTGACTGACTGACTCTCCTAAACCAATTGTCAATTACTCAGACCAAAAGAAAAAAAACAATATAATTACACGTATAATTACCAACAGATGAATTTTGTCCTCTTATATACGATCTGCTATATACACATCGATAATCTCACCCTCCAAGAGTACGGCTGAGCGTGCCTCCTCTGCTAGATCAGGAGTGATCAGCTGGAGCTTCCAATCTGCCAATTTTCTGGACATTGTTGATGATCACTGTGAAGTCGCTCTCTCTTCTTAATCTCTCTCTGATTTTTCCCTAATTAAAAAAATTTTCAACTTTTTTTCTTGCACAAGGTTTTTGACGTCTAGATAAGTATAAGTACCAGTACTAATGTGTAGTTGCGCTACGAGTGCTGTCTCAGTGTCAGTATAAGCAGTTCCATTGGTTGCTTCTACAGATGAGCAGAGAAGAACTACTGAAACTACCCCAAACTTTTAATATCCGTGACAAAAGGGAACTAGTGGTTTTTAACCCTAGAAGAAACAAACAAGCTAGCTTAGCGGCCACATGCGATTG